ATTATTATTATTATTAAATATATTTAAATATTTAGAGGATGTTACAATTAACATATTAATATTATGAATTAATATTTTTTGATATATTAGTGATGTTTATAATTTTTTCAAATTGATCGTGTGGAGCTATTATATGGCAAATGACTACATACAATGCACACAATACTTTTTCCATAACTCATATACATCGTAAGATTGATAAAATAATGGTTGAAATGAAAGAATCATCATGGGATTTGTAAAATAATGTCATTTTTTTCCAAAATCTAGGTATAAACCACTAATTAAGAAGCTACCAGAGTTGTAATAAAAGAGAATAATATAAACAAAGAGTATTAGGCCCTAAAAACTCGTAAGGCCAAATGATCCACAATAATAAAACATGCCTAAGCCAAAAACCCAATGGATTAAAGTCAATGAAAGGATATATAATCCTAGTGGGCCAACTAAGTTGTAACTAATCTTTAGTAGTTATTCTGTTAGTAGCTATCAGTATAAAATGTAATTCATTCACTAGTAATGTAATCGAAATCTCATAATATTCAATATACAGAATCAATTCAGAATTCAATATTCTTTTCTTTTGCTACAAGATCCTGATATCTTTCTGTCAACTCGGGAGTCATCCGAACTTATCATTTAAAAAATTGTATATATTTTATTATATTCAATTTGTTCAAAATTATTTTAGATATGTTCAACAATGTAAGATCATAGATATATGTTTTGATTTTTTTAGCTCCTTTGTTACATGTAGTTTGTGTATCAGCCATTACTTACTAAAATTACTTAAGACATTCTTTTGAGAAAAAAATAGTAACTCTGGTTCTTGCATTTATGTACCATCAGGAATCTTCAATGCTGCGGATCAGGTTTTTGGAACATGCTAATTTAGTTAGATATATATGTTCAACAATGTAAGACAAAACTTATAGAAGCTGGTACATCTCCTTCCTCTAGCCCACAATTTCATGCAGATGTATCATCATCGACTTCCAGAAGACATTCAACATCAAGTAAGATATTTTTAGGATTTAGTAAATGCGCAATATTTTTTTTTTATGGGATTGTCTTAACAACCGACGGTAACTAGTGTTTTTTTTTTTTGGATTTGCCTGCAGATAACTCAAGAGTCTATTCAGCGAGATTCATGCGATTGTGACACTTGTCATATATGCATCTGTTGGGTGTACAGTCGTTACTAATCTCGGTCAACAATCTTGCAAGATACGCACGATGATTACACGTTAAAAAAGTTCATCTAATCTCGCTAGTCAGCCCAACTAAATTAGTTAGGTGAATTTTTTTTTGCAAATGTGACAGTTTACCACATTGACCACAAATCTGGTTATACACGAGATTTGTGACCTGCAAAATATTGCCACATGTCCAATCCAATCTCACTTGTTGGCATAGCGAGAATATGACGTGACATTTTTAAAAAAAAAATTCAATAGATTGTGACATTGTGATAAATAGTAGTCCAAAAAGTGACCAAAAAAAAATCAATGTCCCCCGGTGTTAAAACTTTGAATAACTGGACGCAACAAAGTTTTGGAACTGGTTTCAAACCGGTTTTAAAAAAAAAAAACTGGTTCGATTTGAAAACTTCATTTAAAATTGATTCGGTTTTTATCAAAATCAGTTATGAACCGCTTCATGCGCACCTCTAAAAACGAGTGTTTTAATTTTGGTTTTGAGAAACTAATTTGTGACTTTTATATTGGGTGAGATCTTTCTAGATGGACTGATGGTGCAAATTTATTCTTTTAGCACAATTGATTTCGTTTGCTTTAAAAGTGCTTGTTTGCTTTAGATTCTTGGGTTCTCAAAAAGACGCTGGCGTTCGAAAGAATTGAATTTAAAGAACAATTGATTTCGTTTGCTTCCGAATATACCACTGTAGCTAAGAGTCTCTTCACTCCTAATTGATTCTTCCCTTGGCTGTTTCTTCTGCCTTTTCACATTTAGTTTATCTAATTTTACTTCACTAACAGAGTAACAGTTCTCGAGTGCTAGCTTTTTTTTATGATTGTATCTCTAAAGTGATTTTGTTTTGGGTTTTATTAATCATGTTAAAGGAGATAAGTTATCTCATGAAGACAAATTTGTGGGCTCCATCACTTGGAAAAAAGAAAAAGAAAAAAAAAAGGTAACATATTTATCAAAGCCTATGTAAGAGAGAAACTTATCACATGTAACGTCACGGTAGTTTTTCCCTTTTGTTATATTTCATTTAAATAAAAATAATTCACTGACAGTTCTTCCTTTGGCTGTTGCTTCTGCCTATCCATCCGTTACTTTTCACCTTTAATGATAAAATTACACATTTAGCCTTATCTAATTTTACTTCTCTCACAGTTCTTGAGTGCTAACTTCTTTTATGATTGCATCTCTAAAGTGATTTGTTTTATTTCATTTAAATAAAAGAGTAAATACCTTTTTTCGTCCCTGGAAATATTTGCGGAGCACAATTTAGTCCCTCGGTTTAAAAAAGTCACATTTCAGTGTTTCACTTTTGAAAAAAAGGGCCACGTTCGTCCTCCCGTTAGTTGGCATCTAACGGCCCAACTAACGGTGCACACGTGGACCGTTACTTTGCTGAGTCACCGTTAAGTATGTCAGCTTGGAAGTAAAACGACGCCGTTTTGAAGGTGCCTTATGTCTTGTTGGAGTTTTGAACAGCTGAAGGTCCTATTTGGTCCCTGACAAATTTATCGAGGCCCTATTTGGTCCTTAACACTAAAAAATCACCATTGCAGCAAACCTTTCAAACCACCATTGCAGCAAACCTTTTCTAGCTAAACAATGAAATTAAAATTTTATTATTAACTGAATGTGTTTAGCAGTTATCCCAAAATATGCATTTACCTTTGGACCAATCTGAACTCCATCTCTTGTTGCTGATGCAACAATTAAGATCTCAAGTAAGCAAATGCTTTCAAAATATAAGAAAGATCAAACTGAAACCAAAAAATATATTTCACTTATTGTGTCTTACTTGTGAGAATAGCACAAGCATCTGAGAAAATAGTTTGGTTTTCACTTGTACAAGGGACATTGGCTGCATAATTTGCGGTGTAATAGTTAAGTCCTATGAAATCAAAAGATCCTTTAACCATCAAGGACTGCTCCCTTGAAAACTTTGGCAATCTTTCACCAGCATTATCAACCATTTCAGCAAGGTATGATCCAGAATTCAGTGGCTCCATAAACCTCGGAAATATTGGACTTGAGTTGCATATATATGCAACAGAAAGATTAAATCATACCATTTGTTAGGATTTCATTGATAAGATTGTTGTAATATGTGATGCCTTCTCTGTTTACACCTCCCCTCAAGTTTCCACCTAGACCAAGTATATGACCAATATTGAATCATTTTTATGTCAATTTATGGTCCACGTTCATACAAAATATACTCATTAATATGTAAGTTATATGTTATCATAACTAGAAAGCAATTAAAATGAGGATCAGAAGAGTAAATGGTGTTGAATATTCCTCCTCACCAGGTAGAACCCTGGACCATGAGATGGAGAATCTGTCTGCATCAAATCCTATGTCCTTCATTATACTCACATCTTCCTGCCAAATTGTTTCCTCAAACATTTCAGAGAAATAGTGAACATTAAACATCATTCAGAAAAAAATAAATATTTCATATACTTGTTTAAAAGAATGAGAAGTACCTTGTAGCGATGGTAAGAATCAACAGCAAGGACTCCACTACTGTGGTCCTTTATCTTATCTGATGAAAAATTCAGACATAAGTACTTTTAAATAGGACTTATGTTGGATGTCCTAGACGTTCAAAGGGGTTGGTTACTGCTTCATTGGGTAAGGTTGTATCCATATTGGCACTTCATATGTACTGTAGAAAGCTCGTTATATATTGTAAAAGATTGTTGTAATCCTTTTTTTGGTTTCAGGTGGTTGTTGACAATGGGAAATCTGATCGAATAGCATAAGCCTTGGCCAATAGCATAAGCCTTGGTTTGCTGCAATGGTGGTTTGAAAGGTTTGCTGCAATGGTGATTTTTTAGTGTTAATGACCAAATAGGACCTCGATAAATTTGTCAGGGACCAAATAGGACCTTCAGCTGTTCAAAACTCCAATAAGACATAAGGCACCTTCAAAACGGCGTCGTTTTACTTCCAAGCTGGCATACTTAACGGTGACTCAGCAAAGTAACGGTCCACGTGTGCACCGTTAGTTGGGCCGTTAGATGCCAACTAACGGAAGGACGAACGTGGCCCTTTTTTTCAAAGATGAAACACTGAAATGTGACTTTTTTAAACCGAGGGACTAAATTGTGCTTCGCAAATATTTCCAGGGACGAAAAAGGATATTTACTCTAAATAAAATTAATTATTTTAAATTGATTTTTAAAATATCTTTCGGAAATACAAATTATTTTTGGAATTAGTTTTTTTAACATTTTTTGTAATAAACCAAACAGATCCTAAGCATGTCTGATGTATAATTTAACAGATGTAATTTTTTTTTTTTATAAAAATTTGTCATAATCAAAATATGATTTAAAAACAGTGGTTTGTCAATTGTATCAGTGCAATTATCCATTTGGAAAACAGGAGAGAAGGGAAGAAATCAAAAGAAAATGAAGGGGGAGGAAAAAGTAAGGGAGATTAAGCAATAAGTTTCCTTCCTGTGTTTGAATATTTAAGATCCTCCAAATAGAAGAACCTTTAAAATGTTCATACAAATTAATAACGAAAGGGGTTTTGAGGATTACATGAAAATTCCTCATTTTCCTCCCTTCATTATAAAAAAACTTGCATAAAACCTTTCCCTCCCTTTAGTTTTTCCTCCATTCTCCTCTATCCAAACCTACCCTTAAATAAATTACATTAACTTGACACCCATTACTGAACTAACTAATTAAAATAAGCCACAAAATCTAAGTCATCTACATTAACTTGACACCCATTACTGAACTAACTAATTAAAATAAGCCACAAAATCTAAGTCATCTATCTTATGTTCCAGTCCCACAAGAAGTATGCTGCAACTTCACATTCTCCCATCGTTTAACAAGTTCATTGTATTCCTCAGCAGAATCAATAGCAAACTCTGCCATTGAGCTCATAGCAGCTGACATTCCAGCACAAAGAACCTTAATACCAACTTCAGCCAAGTTCTCAGAAGCCATTACCTCTTCTACCTGACCAACTTCCACCATTTCCATATTCTCATTGGATTCCTTTGATCCAACTCTTGAATCTTCTCTTACCTGTTGCGCATAGAGTGACCCTATACCAGCTGCAAAAAAGTCTATGCTATCAAGCACTGCTGTTTCTTGGATGGCATCTAAACGCCTTGACCACTGAACACAAAGTCCAAATAATGGATGTGTGCTACTGGACTGACGAGGAGAGAATGATAACTTTGATGCATCAGGCTGACATCTCACGCACCGGAGAAGCCACCCGGTTATAGCATGAATATAGGATCTTTGAGAAGTGATCCATGACTCAAAGGTGTTTCGCCAATTCCTCAACTCAGTTTCAAGATTGGAGGCAGAACAAGCAAGCCTGTGCGGATCAGTTGTTAACATGGAAGACTGTTTTCTGGCAACAGTGCCAGCTAGAAGAATCTTTGCCTCATCTAAGGTTCTCTTCTGTATCTGATGACATTCTGCCATCACTTTCCACATCCTTGCCAACCTGTAGTTTTTGAATGTTTGGATTAGAATCAGCGAGCATGATATTTTATGTGTAATTACATGCCATGATAGTTTGATATGTCTGCCATTTGTTATTGTTGCAATCCCTAGTTTTCAGCATCTAGAATGTTTTATTTTTCCTCCTTAATCTTAGGAGTTTGTTTCGTTATTTGTTATTTAAATTCCTAGGATTAGTTTGTTTCTGATATTTTTCCTGTTTAGTTAAAATAGGATTCAGTTTTCTAGTTTTATCTCTTTCCCTGATTATAGGGATTTGTTGCACTGGAATATTTCTGGTGTCTATTTATTGTACGTTTTTTTCTTTTAGTTTTAATGGAAAAACTGGTTCCATCATTCAAACTTTCTATATGGTATCAGAGCTTGATTTTTAAGGGACTGATCCACCCATGGCTACCAATGTGCCACTCTTTGGCACCATGAGAGCCTACCAAACTACTTCTTCCAATACCACCGGTACAAATACCACTCCAACAACAACCCCACTCAATGTTTCAGCATCAAACCAAACCAACAACAACTCAGCAGCTGTCATTACCAACGATAGTCCAGCATTAGTCATCACTGGTCATCGATTCAATGGAGACAATTATTTGTTGTGGTCACGCAGCGTTCGTATGTTCATTGGAGGCCGTGGCAAGGGAGATCATCTCACCGGTACGGGTGATGCTGCTCCTCTGGAAACCAGTCATCCACAATACAAGAAGTGGTCCATTGAAAATAACCTTGTGATGTCTTGGTTGCTGAATTCCATGGTGCCTGAAATAGCTGAAACATACATGTTGTGCTCCACAGCCAAGGAAATTTGGGATGGCGTGAAGGAAGCCTTCTCTAAGGAAGATAACACAGCTGCCTTGTTTCACATCAAGGGGATTCTTCGTGATCTCAAACAGGAGGACAAGGATGTCACCAGCTATTATAATTCACTCCTAAAATTCTGGCAACAATTGGATCTTTATGATCAACATGAATGGACTACTCCAGCCGATACTCTTCAGTATAAGAAAATTGTTGAACAAGACCGCACCTACAACCTTCTTTTGGGACTCAATCCAATCTATGATGGAGCTCGCAGCCGCATCATGGCCACTCGCCCTCTGCCATCCTTGCGAGAAGTTTTTTCTGAATTAAAGTGGGAAGAAAGCCGCAAAGTTTTGACCAATAGCATCCCAAAAGTTGATGCACCTTTGGAAGCAGCAGCCTTTGTCTCTAGACCCAACAATGCAGACTCCAGACCTAGGCGAAATGGTAAGCTCTGGTGTGACCATTGCAACAGAACTGGGCATATTCGGGATACATGCTGGAAAATCCATGGCAAGCCAGCTGATTGGAAGCCAAGACAAAACAGAGACTTTAATCATGTTGCTGCAGTTGTAGAAGATGTTCCGCAAGCAAAATCCGAAGGCCATACATTTACAAGGGAACAAGTGATAGCCATACAACGCATGCTGCAAGATTGCAATAAGGACAAATCTAATCCCTCATCTGATAGTCATCAATCAGGTACATTCCATACAGCTCTCCAATCCGATCTTGATAAATGTGATTCCTGGATGGTAGATTCTGGGGCTACAGATCATATGACTGGTAATTCCTCTCTTCTTTCTGAATACTTTCCCATTTTCGAGGCAAAATCAGTAAAAACAGCAAATGGAGGCTTAGCCAAGGTTCACGGAATTGGTGTTGTTCACCTATCGTCAACCATATCTTTAACTGGAGTTCTCTACGTTCCATCTCTTACCTGCAATTTAATTTCTATTACCAAATTGACCAAGGATTTAAAGTGCACAGTCAAATTTACCCACGTTGATTGTATTTTTCAGGATTTGGCATCGGGGAGGACGATTGGCAGTGCTAGGGTCTCTAATGGTTTATATCAACTTTACACAGCCGCGGTTATGAAGACTCAAGACAGCACATTTGCAGCAACTAGCAATTTGAATAAGGCTCTTTTATGGCATTTTAGATTAGGGCATCCAAACTTTCAATATATGAAAAAGATGTACCCTTCTTTATTTAATGAGAATTCGAATTTTCCTTCATGTGATATATGTCAACTTGCAAAACAAACTCGGTCTCATTATCCCTTACAAATGCATGTTCCTTCTAAACCATTTGCCATTATCCACAGTGATGTGTGGGGACCTGCAACTGTTAAAAGCCTTACGGGTGCTCGTTGGTTTGTCACATTTATTGATGATCATACTCGAATGACATGGGTGTACCTATTAGCCAATAAATCTGAAGTCACATCCACCTTTAAAGTCTTTCACAAAATGATCCTTGCCCAATTTCAAACCCAAATCCTTACCCTTAGATCTGACAATGCACGTGATTATTTTAACTTGGACCTTTCAGCTTACCTAAAAGACCATGGCATCATCCACCAGAGCTCTTGTGTCAATACCCCACAACAAAACGGTGTATCTGAGAGAAAAAATCGCCATTTACTTGAAGTTGCTCGTAGCCTACTCTTTGCCTCAAATACATCCAAAAATTATTGGGGGGAAGCTATTCTTACAGCCACTTACCTTATCAACCGCATGCCATCTCGGGTATTACACTTCTCCTCACCTTACCAAACACTCCTCACTGCATTCCCTTCATTGACCTTAACCCCAAATCTCCCACCAAAAATTTTTGGTTGCACCGTGTTCATTCATAACTCTCAAGGTGGTAAATTGGATCCTCGGGCTCTTAAGGGCATCTTTCTTGGCTATTCCCCTACTCAGAAGGGGTATAAATGCTTCAGTCCAGCCACACATCGATTCTACATTACTAAAGATGTCACCTTTTTTGAACATCAGCCTTATTTTTCCCAAACCGCCATTCAGGGGGAGATCCCTAATTCCAAGGAATGGTTGTTTGTGACTAATACTCCAGAAAACTCTGCTTCAACAGCCCCTACACCGGTCTTAGGTGAATCTCAGGAAAATGACACTTCATCTAATGGCTTATCCTCTTCCGGCTCGCTCCAGAAACCGCCTGAACAGCAGCCCCTGCAAGTCTACACGCGACGGCCCAAATACAGAACAGCTTCTGAGATGCTTGAACATGTTGACAAACAGATTACCTTGGCTCCTGGTCCAACTGAAGAAACCATTAGTCCTGCACTTGACCAAACTGAATCCTTGCTGCCAAGTTCTGATGATGCTCTGCACATGCCAATTGCACTTCGTAAGGGGGTAAGGACATGTACAAGTCATTCCATCTGTAATTTTATATCCTATGCTAATCTTTCCTCCAGGATGCAGCATCTAGTCAAGAACATTGACAAGGAAACCATTCCTACATCCTACTTTGAGGCATCTAAGACTACTGAATGGTGTTCTGCTATCCAGGATGAATTGCATGCACTCAAAAAAAATGGCACTTGGGAGATAGTTACCTTACCACAAGGAAAATCAGTGGTTGGCTGTAAGTGGATTTTTACCATCAAATATAATGAAGATGGGAGTATTAATCGCCATAAAGCAAGACTTGTGGCCAAAGGATTCACTCAGACACAGGGCATTGATTACCAGGAAACCTTTGCTCCAGTAGCAAAATTTAATTCAATTAAAATTCTTTTGTCCATTGCTGCTTGCCTAGATTGGCCCCTTTGGCAAATGGATGTGAAGAATGCATTCTTAAATGGTGACTTAGAAGAAGAGGTTTACATGGAAATTCCCCAAGGAGTGGAAGATGGTCAAGGATCTCGAAAGGTATGTAGATTATTAAAATCCCTTTATGGTTTGAAGCAATCTCCAAGGGCTTGGTTTGATAAGTTTACTGCAGTTGTCAAAAATCAAGGGTACTCCCAATGTCAAACTGATCATACTATGTTTGTTAAAACTGCACCTCATCAGAAAATTACAATATTAATTGTCTATGTTGATGATATTGTGATTACTGGTAATTGGGAGGATGAGATAAAGCAATTAAAGGAGACGTTAGCTCACAAATTTGAGGTCAAGGACCTTGGAAAATTACGATATTTTCTTGGAATGGAAGTGGCAAGAACTAAGGAAGGAATTTCAGTTTCTCAAAGAAAATATACTCTTGATCTGCTGAATGAAACAGGGATGTTGGGATGTAAACCTTCTGATACACCAATGGAGGCGAACTACAAGATAGGACTCAAACAAGAATGTGCTTCGGTAGACACTGAGAGATATCAAAGACTAGTTGGAAAACTCATTTATTTAGCCCACACTAGGCCTGATATTAGTTTCCCTGTGAGTGTGGTCAGTCAATTTATGAACAGCCCAAATGAAGAGCACTTGGAAGCCGTCTACAGAATCCTACGATACTTAAAGATGACTCCTGGTAAAGGATTGTTCTTCAAGAAAAATTCCAGCCGTGATATTGTGATTTACACGGACGCTGATTGGGCAGGATCCATTATCGATCGAAGATCAACCACAGGCTATTGCTCATATGTGTGGGGAAATTTGGTCACTTGGAGGAGTAAAAAACAGTCTGTGGTAGCCAGAAGCAGTGCTGAAGCCGAATACAGGGCATTGTCCTTAGGCACTTGTGAGGGAATGTGGATTTTAAGAGTCCTAAAGGAGCTACACCTCGAATACAAGGATCCTATGAAGATTTTCTGTGATAACATGGCCACCATTGGAATTGTCAATAATCCAATCCATCATGACCGTACCAAGCATGTTGAACTTGATAGAAATTTCATCAAGGAAAAAATTGATGCAAATATTATTGATCTAAGTCACATTTCCACAGGGTCCCAGATTGCTGATATCTTAACCAAGTCTTTATCAAGAATTAAATTTGAAGGACTAATTTCCAAGCTGGGAATGCTGGACATCTACCACCCAGCTTGAGGGGGAGTGTTGCAATCCCTAGTTTTCAGCATCTAGAATGTTTTATTTTTCCTCCTTAATCTTAGGAGTTTGTTTCGTTATTTGTTATTTAAATTCCTAGGATTAGTTTGTTTCTGATATTTTTCCTGTTTAGTTAAAATAGGATTCAGTTTTCTAGTTTTATCTCTTTCCCTGATTATAGGGATTTGTTGCACTGGAATATTTCTGGTGTCTATTTATTGTACGTTTTTTTCTTTTAGTTTTAATGGAAAAACTGGTTCCATCATTCAAACTTTCTATAGTTATGTTGGAAGTAAATTGTCTCATTTAAGACCACACAGCATATTGCTCATGTACAATTTCAAGAAACTAGAGTTGAAGCATAACCATACACAAAACTAATTGTGCAGTTCTATCAAGACAAGAAGGACATGATCAAAATTTTTGCACCAGAAATTACATATATAATCTTATGGCGGTAGTACAGACAAGGTTAAGTAGCTGCTATGTAAATTTGTTGGCTCTAATACTAAGTATCTTATTTAAGTTTTCAATTTGGCTCTAATATTATGTATCTAAATGTAATGATATAGGTAACTAATTTAACTCTCTTAAGTTAGAATTACTACTGTATGTATTATTGTTTTGTTTACCAAACAAAGACTAGCATTATAGTTTTCCTTTATGAAAACTAGTTTGCATAGAGAAGGGGCATACAGAACAAGATGGAATATTAGCAGTATGTTTTAAGTCTGAAAGTGAAAATACTTTAAATTTTGGCAGAAAGTTTACGGTTCATCCAGAAAACAAAGTTGTATGGGAATAACGATTTTCACTCGTACCCTTGCACCAATTCAAGAAGTTGGGGATGCAACTCTTCATCCCTTAGAGTTTCAATTCTCCTGGAAATAGCTTCAACTGAATGTAATGAAACTGTTATCTGGGTATGCAGATCTCTAATGGCTGCTCTTGTTTTATCCACAGAAGAGGGTTCCTCTCCTTTTATATCATGGTTCTTGAGTTGCAGACATTTCTTCTCATATGCAATTCGAACACGTTCTCCAGACTGTTGAAGAAGAAAGTGGGCATAGGATTAAGTTTCCCATTATTATAATTGTATGCAATCATAAGCTCGATGACCTGTTACAATAATAATCTAATAAAATTTAAAGAAATAAGAGACTGAGAGAAAAATTACTGAATTAGATTAAATAGTTGCAGTTGGCCTCTGGTGTATTTTTTCACAATGCTATTAAACGCCTAATAGAAGGATTTATACTCATCAGTTTGAAGCATTATGATTTTTCACATTACCTAGAAGCTAACCATCTTGGTTTATTACTTTACATAAGCACTTTGAAGTATTATTTTCGAGTAAAAAATTAGTAATAATTATAAGCAAGTGTAGTTTCCATTGATGGACTGATGACCTCATGAGTGAATATTGATTTTGTTCATCCCTGAAGGATTGTCTACATAACAGCTTAGCTTTTAATTGATTACAAGAGAGAAGAGTTATAACTTATAAGTTCTAATAGGCTATATTTGAAGTTGCAATTATATGTATCAAAGCATGTCATTTGAGAGAAGTTTATTGAAATAATTTTACAACGCATTTAATAGTTTGAGAAATGCTAGTAACACACTTTTTACATACTCTTATCAACACTCTTTATTATTGGGTGAAATCTCATGCTATATTTAGTGGGACTAGCATAGGATTTTATCTAATAATAAAAAAAGTGTTGAAAAATCAAATGGTGTGTAATAGTTCATGGGTAGAAGTTCAGTAATATACCTTGACTTCCTCGTAGAGCTTCTTCTCCCATGCATATAACCTTTCTAATGTTGACTGATGGCTAACAGAAAACAAACCATGTTCCTCTGATGGATCATCAGTGCCCTCGTAACCTTCATCCCTAGTGCTTGAAGAATTCATTATAAATCTTGATGAGGAAGAGCGTGAAGAAGCTGAGCGGAACAGAGCTACTGGGTTCAACAACTTTGATGCTGCAAAAGAAATATAATTGAAATTTATATTCCTGAAAATTTACAAATAGATATGAGTGAGAGAAAAATGATCTACTATAAAATCAAACGAGAACTCGAGAACAAGTAAGATTATTTCTATATACAATTCAAATTCATTTTCTATAATAGTGTGGATTGACTTCGGAAAGGGAAAGTGGTAAGTGAAAACTAAAAACAAATGCGTTGGCCAAATGAACAATAAGAATTTGTGAATGGATGTTATCCTTGAAATTTGAAGCTTAACTTACAATACTGAACACTATGAAAAACAGGAGCATGGAGGAACACTTTAAACACAATGAAAAAATAAATTGTATACTTCCATCAAACCTGAGAGTTCATTAGATGTCGATGAATACTGAGCTTTCTTGGCCTCTAACAATGCTGAGACATCATTGGCTGCATTGCAGACTGTTGTGAATTGAGCTTCAAGATCCCTTATCACTTCAACCATGCTTGTTGGCCTTCGGTTTACATAAACTGTAAAACCAGGTGTTTCTTCCTTAGCTTCTTGATTACCAATTGCCATTTCCTGATGGCTGGATTCAGTATGACTCGCAGTTTGAGCTTTTGATACTTGAAAACATTCACAGCCATTAGCTTGTGAGTCTGTGACTTCATGTAAAGTTTCACTTTCACTGTCTGTTCCTTCCTCTTCATGTTCATCAACATCTTCAACTGTGACTTCTTCTTTGGAGGAGTTTACATCAATTTTGGTTCTTTCTTCTGTTACATTTCTCTTTTCAACAAAATCTTCTTGTTCAGTTTCATCTTCTTCCAGGTCTGGTATTCCTTCTTCTTCTCGGACCTGCCTCAGTCCTCTATTCTCGTCATCCATAGTAGTCTGGTCAAGGCTACTTCGGGTTGGGTAACCATAATAGTCTAATGATGAAAATGGGTTCCAAAAGAAATCCCATTGGGAAGATTGAGGTGAAGGGGGAGGGATATTAGGCCTGTTATTGGGAGAATAAGCAAAAATTGAGGAATTCATAGGTGAGGATTGCATAGCAAAAAAACCATCAATGCCAAACTGGTGTATGGGGGAATATGTTTCAACTCGAACCATTTCGGGTGATTGAGGCCTTTCCTCAACTGAAATTACTGGATTACCACTCGGCCTTAGGTAATTCACTTTCAATGTTGTATTGGATTCAAGCTCAATTGATTTTGGAGTGAAGGGTTTTGAAGATATGGGAATGAAAGCAGGACCAGTTTTCTTCACATGCTTGAAAGGTAATGGGGTTATGAATGAATCTAATGAGAACTCAGGTGAGTCATCTCCTTCAAAGTAATCACGCAGAGCAGCTGAAACTCTTTTCAGAGACTGAATGTATGCCATATGACCAATAGCAAATTGAGTTCTTTGCTCAACAGCTTGTTTGATGAATTGCTTTCTATCTTTACAAAGCTGAACTGCCTCTTCATCATCCAATCTTGATTGAGAGCATCCCATCTCTTATTATGGCTTTCCTTTAGCCCTATGAATATCTCAGGCTTGCATTGAAGTGGAAATCAATGGACAATCTTTGTTTATCACAAATCTGTCTACAGAAAAAGGGAATTTCAATATATATACTGAATAACATAAAAATGGAATTGGAGAAAAAAAAAGAAAGCAAACACTATTTTTGAATCAAAGAGATCTGTCAATGTTAATAAAGTTGGATGCTTTCCTTCATATTCAAGTCAGAAGGATATCGAAAATTGAGATTTGATCAAGAGAAACAAGTAATGGAGATTCCTGAAGTCCTTTCCTTTACCAGTTTACCTCTATGTTTGCCAGAAAAAACAAACATGCTCAATCACAATGCGAAGACATTAAGAAAGCATAGTACTTTGATCTGGGAATTTTTCTTTTAGCAGAGTGAAAAACAGCCAGCAAAAAAAAAAAAACATTTCAAAGTGAAAATAATAAAAGAGAGGCATTACAACAGTCGTCAATTACGCTAAATTAGAAGAAGAAGAAGAAGAAGAAGAAGACCAGCATTCACAAACTTAAAAAGAAAAGGAAAAAAGTAATCAAGAAATACATTGCTGCCAATATGGAAGATATAAAAATATATTTAGGAAAAAAAAAAAAAAAAAAAAAGGTTACAGAAGAGCTGATGAACATGAAGACAGGGTACCCATTTGACAAAAAATCTCAATGCAGCCTCACTCAATTTCTTACTCTTAAGAGCTGATAAAAAAAAAATAGTGATGGTAGTAGGAGAAGAATAAGAAAAATGCAGAAAAAGAAAATAATGAGCAGTGGCTGAGAAATTAACATGAAGAGTGAAGCTTAGAATGGAGAACCATACCTGACAATGGCGAGCGGGAACTAGATGGAGCTTTGATCACGGAGAGGGAATCACTGAGAGAGAGAGGGGAACAGAGAGACGTTGAGAAAAGCAACGGTCAAATCACAAAAGAGACAGAAAGAAACACTGTGGGACAGTGGGACCAAAAAAAACACAATTTAAAGGAAGAACAACTAGAATGTTATGAAAACTAAATGTCATTGCCCTTCATGTTGCACTAAATTTCTTAAATGCCACCACTTTTTTATTTTTTCAGTGAAGATTTTTAATATAAACGACCAGGCTTATCAACTCTTTACTTTTTCTAGTTGTTCCAAGTTCCCAATTTTGGTAAATCATATTAGCACAAGTTATCCTTTCATGATTTTGTATTAAAATAAAAAACTGGTCCTGGGCCTTAGTCCTCCATGTTACGAAAACAAAAAAAACAGTTATTTTATGTCAAATGCAAATACATAAAATAAAAATTGGGAAAAGTATTTTTGTAGAGATAAAGTTATCTTCAGTAAGTTCAGAATAACGTCGTTTTGAATTGTAAGATTAAAAAACTATAATGATAAAGACAAATAAATTAAAATTTTAAAAACACCTTTATTTCCGCTATAAAACGACATCATTTTAAACTTATTAGAGATAATTTATCTTTCGAAGACACACAAAATATCAAGTTAGTTTAGATCACGTTGATATTCAAAATTATATTCCTTCTGTTTTAAAATAATGGTTACTTTTAAATTTTAGTCTATTTCAAATTATTTGTCACTTCCATAATTAAGGAAATATTTTTTTTTTTAAATGTAAGACAAGTTAGTATTTTTACTAAATAAAAGAGAGTATAAATGAAGGAAAATAATTATCTCATGTTGTATGAGATAATTATTTCATGCAATTAGAGATGTGCATAGGTCGAACTGAACCAAATTTTTTGAAAAACTAAACCGAATTGGTTTAAATGATTCGGTTCGAAAATGGTTCGTTTCGGTTCAAAACTGGTTCGGTTCAGAAATAGTTCGGTTCAGTTGGAAACAGTTCGGTTCGGTTCAGATTCGGTTCGGGTCGACCCTATTTTGTAAAGAATTTTTATTAAAATCTTAAAAAATAAAGTTATAAAAATTAATTTGGTTCAGTTCGGAAATGGTTTGATTCTTAAAATGGTTCAAAAAACCGGTTCGGTTCAAGAACTGGTTTTTAAAGATCGATTATTTTAAGTGCAGTTCAGTTTGGTTTATGGTTCAGTTCAGTTTTTTAGTTATTTTGCACACCCTTACATGCAACAGAGACAAAATATGGAACCCACTATTTTTTTCTTTAAATGATTGATTCCACTATCTTGTTTATGTTGTATGAGATAATTATCTCATGCAACATGAGATAAATAGATCGTATAAATGAAATGAGGGTGTATAAACTTAATTTTTTTATAATTAAAAATACTTTCTTTATTTTTTATAAAATTGTAAATGGAAATTATTTTAAAACTAAGAGAAATATGATAAACTAAATTCATGTTTATTTTAAATATATGGAAACATTACATTAATGTTTTTAATTTTAAAAAATTAATTTGATATATCGTCGTATACTTTAAGAAGAAGAATTTTAGTCAATCATAGATATTAAAAAAAAAAGGTAATACAAATAGACATTTTTTAAGCCAGCCGTAATTGTTGTAACATGTCACACTACCTTGCAAAGAGTACAGAAGCCCCAGCAGTTTGGCCAGAGACAAACAAATCCACTGAAACTGAAAGTACTTCTTCACAACCCTACTAAGGTTGATGAATGATGATGAACCAATAAATATCACTTGATCATTTGCTTTCAGGACACAGGTTTTTAAGATTAAGATTTGAAAAAACAGAGAAAAGAAAATTAATAAAGCATTTAGAAAAAGCAAAACAAAAAGAAAAGTGGGCTAAAGAAAAAGAAAACCCGGTCCCCTTAAACTTTGAAGGACCCACTGGAAGCCTCGGTAACGGCCATGGTGGTAAATGCTCAAGCATTCGTCTTCATATATCAAAATTGCCATTCCAAGCGTTTTCCTCCTTGAAAGATTCTTGGTATGTCTACTGTGCACCATGCATTGAGTCAATTACATAAATCTTTATATCACATAAATAATTCACGATTTAAAATAATAATAATAATAAATCAATTTTTGACTCCCTTAATGCATCATCTAATCATGCAAGAATTTTTCTCATATTCACCCACCTCTTTCAAGTTCCACGATCGTCATGTCATATTGTCACCCTTTTAGGTGAAAGTTCAAATTCTTTTTTCCCGATTCTGCTTTACATTTTTAATCAAGACTGCATGCTACACAGTATACACTGTTGTCTTCTCTACATTAATTGATCTACCACGACGAATGTTCTTTGTGTGAATTTATCTCTTGATTGGCATATTATTTTTGATATTCTACATATCCAAACATTAATTTGACATCTTGTTCTTGAAATGATTACAAACACCTGGGTGGACGTAAGAACCCACGAAAATTTAGCGTGGTTTCTCATGATATTGTATTAGATATCATACTTGTTTATTTATATACTAAATTCACCATAAAGTCATAAACTATTGTTTAGGTTTTGCCTGCCACTGCGAGATAAGGATTGATGTAGGTTGCAATGTAGTGTGCCTTCTTTCAATTCGTTTATCATTGTCGGTCAATGGTTGGTAAGCACAAAAATTCTATAACGTCAGACATGGTTCTATGGCTGCAATTCTTAAGTTCTATAAAGCACACGACAATGACTGTACTTCTTACTTATAAAGACATGATCACTTATCATAAATGTTATAAAGCATATTATTATGAATACAGTTATATTTACAAAAAAAAAACTTACAAATAATTTTTTACTTAAAAGTGTCTTACTTGTCAGAAATAATGTAATTTGTAAGAGTTTGTAATCAAAAAATTTATCAATATAACCTTTCTTATTATTACCTAAGTTAATACATTTTCTTTTCAAATTTTGTCTGAGTGTTCTAAAAGTATTAATTATTATTAAAATATTTATATTATTAAAACACAAAAGATAAACCATTTAATACTCCTTAATATTACTGTCCACGAAAACTAATTAGCAAGACTTCAACATGCTAATAGATGAGATAGGAAACTTGAACATTACGGGAACATTCTTAATTAAGGAGTGTTAATTAAAGGAATATGTTGACTGGAATGTTAACTTTCAAGCACATTGGTAACTGAAAAGGCTACGATTGCAGAAATTGCATACATCTTTGCTCGAAGGAAGCAACTATGGAAATTGCGTCATCTCTCACTCACAAGTCACAAGCATAAACTTATACGCCATGATGACGTGCCCACTCCCTGCAAAGACGTTCAAGGATATTGACAAGAGAGTAATGGGCGTTTGGTACAACTAAATTTTTGTTTTTTTATTAGGGGGTGTTTGGTTGAGCAGAATTTTTTTAAATACTAGGAAAATGTAATTAATATGGAAATGATTAAAAAGTGAGTTTGGTATGAAAATATAAAAATTTTGTTTGGTTAGAAAAAAATTTACCGGGCAAATTAGGTAAGATTTATAAAGTCTATGTTTGGTTTGAGATAAAATATAGATAAGGAAATAACTTCAAATTACAAAATAACCCTTGTAGCAAACACTATTGTCTAATAGAAGAGGGTATTTTCGGCATCCACATGTGTCCTCTTTCTCCCATTAGCCTAGACAACTTGAAAATACTACCTTGGAAGAGGTATTTTCAACAGTCTTTTCCCCCTCAATTTTTCGTTAAGTTATATTATCTATCTTTAGTAGATACCACAACTCGATGCAGATAATTATGAATGCTATTGTGAGTTCTATGTACATTTTTATTTTAAACTTGTGTCTCTTACACCTACAAGGCTACAACTAATTGTTGCTGCTGATAATTATGCCACTTCTCGTGATTTTTTGCTGTCGTTGATTGCTTAGTTGCATGCTTTACTGGGGAACCAAAAATACCACTTACAAAGTGGTATTTCTAAACAGTAGTTTTCAACATAATTTTCACACAATTAGCAAATCTTGGGCAACTGATTTTAGTGGGCATATTTCTTTAAAACTTGTACCAAACATGGTATAATACAATACCCACTCTCACTTCCCCATCCATCTCAAAAAAATCTTCC